CGCAGTCACAGTGCCAATATGGCCAGAGCCGCTTGACGTCTTTGGAAAATCAATGTTTGTTGCAGCGGCTATGGTTGTGTGGTAATTAGCAACATCATCGAGAGACAGCTGGCTCTGTTGGGCTCTGAATTCCTAGAAATGGCTGTGCCCTGATTGAGTGAATGGCCTGAATCTGGGGATGCGTTTTTGATAGCCATTGCATTCCTCCTAGCATGTCGCAACTGTCACCAGTCGCCAGTTACCAGTCAGCAGTCAGCACTTCTGATGAAATCTCGGACATTTTCGACCATCCAACCTATCCAACAGGTTTCGACTTTGGCAGATACAGTTTGAGATGCAAATCAAACTGGTTGATCGGCCAGATACCGCCTAGAATTGATAAACACTTCCTCGACCAAGCGTATCCGGCCAGCACCTCTAAGCTCTTGCCCCAAACAGGTGTTGCGGGCCAGAGTACTGGGTACACAATTCGCAATTACGGAGATGGATGGCAGAACTCTTACGCGAAAGCAACTTCCTGCCACGCGAGCGAGTCCTTCACTCCTTTGACAAATCTGACAGCTGGCCCGAAAAACCCGAAAGAACGAGAGTGTCTCCAACCCCCAAAAGGAGCTCAACAACATAAAGCTTATGCTGGCAACAAAGGGGGTGATATGTCCTGGCCTGGTCTGGGGTAGGATGGGGTGGGTAGGAGCGAGGCAGTCATTATCAAAGCCCTTCAAGGTCTCTCAAGCTCTACAGATTTTTATGTTCACGACACGCACACACTCGGGGGGGTAGAGTCTCATATATTTTATGAAAATTAGGAGAGCCTGCCGCCCAGATCCTGGCCCGGAACGCGTCCGGGGAAGACGAAATGTTGCCATAAATAAATGGTCTCGTTTACGACTTTGGACATTAACCTGTTAAATTTCTAATGTGTGTGATGGGTCCTTGTGCTCCTCCGTCCACCCCCAGGACCAGGCCATCAACGTTTTGCATATTTAAGCAGTCTCGGCAGCAGCGGCAGTGGCTCGGATAATCCAACATACTAATGTGTACCAGAGCTGGGCCAAGAGGCCAGGCCGGGCCAGACGGCAGCTCTCCGCTCCAGAGAGACCACAAAATCAATAATGATTACATTTGGCTTGCATATTTCACCAGCCCGGAGAGCGACCGGGAGTGGGCGGCCGGGCGGGTGGGTTAAATGACATTTGGTGGCATACGCCAATTGGTTGGCAGGTCAGGTGGTTGCTCCTACAAGCCTCCACGTCCACATCCACCCCAGCCCACTCTTTCGTGGAGAGTGTGAAGAGACAAAAGACCGAAAAGCGGTTAAGTGGCGAGGTGGTAGCAGCAGCGCCAGCCAAAAGCCCTTACAAGAAGTCCTCTGCCCACTCCTTCAGAACACAGTGTTCCCTCTTCAGAGCATCCCTAAGCAATAAAGAATAAATTATAATTAATAAATAAATATAAAACATTAATAATTTTAATTTCAAGATTTTACAAGACTTCTAGCATTTCCAGCACAACGAGGGCCCACTGTTCTCACCACCGAACGAGTAAGCTCTAGTGGGGCTTCGAAGCAAAAGAAATGCAATGCACTGGCAGGCAGCACCACTGCCACCAGCGAAAGATGCAGGCGAAGAGAAATGCAATAAGTGGCGCGCAGGGTCAACGATAATAGGAGGCTAGGCTAGGAGGAGAGGCGACGCCACTCAATGCAGTCAACGGCCTACAGACGGGTCCTAGTCCAACCAGTTAGAAAATGCTAGCCGACCGGCAAGAAAGTGCAACAAAGTACAGACCCCAATCTGCAGACTAGCCAGCACACACATACATATGCACCCATGCATGTGCCTATGTAGACACACACACCGTTGGCAGGGGGACACCACCCACCCCCGCCCTCTCCTTGCGCCCGCCCGGCAGGTTGAAATCCAACGCAGCAGAACGAACGAGCGAAGCGACGAAGCAAAGTAAATGAAAAATAGCAAGGAAAATGCACACAGAAAGTAGCAGCATCAGACCCAGCACCAGGAACAACAAAGAAAGCAAACGTTGATGACGTTGACGATGGCTATGGCGATGGCGACAAAGCAAATGCACAAAATAGGCAGAGGTAGAGGCAGAGGCAGCGGTAGAGTGCGAAAAATGGCTGAGGAGGTGGAAGTACTCGCCGAAGAGAAAATGCAACGTAAAGCACAAAGCCAAGCAGCCAAAAACCAAAGAGTTCATTCCAGATATGGCAAGAAGAGGAAAATACTAACGGGGCTTTTGGGGGTACAAGTTGAAGATTTCATTCACTGGCAAGGTATCACTAAAAGTAACGGTTATTTGTAAGATGAGTCCTGTACAGTGGATGAGACTCGTCGTTTTGCAAATATTATAATTTTAATATTTTTAATATTAAATTCGAAGACTATTTTGTAACTAAGGTACCTTTATAATTTTATATTTTTTACTCACTCAAGCCACTCATTTTAATCATTTTTTTTTAATATATAAATTATATATATATATAATTGAAGGAATTAGTTTTTAAAAAAGTTAAAATTTTACCTTATAAGCCCTAAAAATCATTCAAAATCATTTAAGATTCTTAAACATCAACATCATTAGTAATATTCATTTAATAATGTAAAATTTTTGAACTTAATAATTTTGATCTTAAAATCCAGATCCTAAAATCATTTAAGATTCTTAAACCCCAACATCATTAGTAATATTCACTTAATAATGTCAAATTTTTGAATATACAATAAACATTTATAACCTGAAAGCAAATATAATTATTTTGGAATATTCAGGTCTATCCTAATTTTGTATTTATACTGAACTGATTTAAGTTTTTAAAAAATAAGTACCTTTTAAATAACAAAAATATATCCATATATTGCAACAATCCATTTTAAAAAATAATTTTCATGAGGTTAAACTTAAAAATATAAAAGTACAAAAGTAGAGAAGTATAAGTTAAAATGTCTTTAGTAACGCTAATATTTATTAAATAATATCAAGTTTTTAGTCATGCCTATTAAATCCCAAAAATATGTCATAATATAATCAGTACACTCCAGAATAACTTGCTAATTTGATTTAGATGATCCGCATAACTTTTACTGTCGAGAAAAGTGAAAAAATGAGTAAGAATTAAAGCTGTCTCTGCCGTTTTCGCAGTTCTTATAGGACAATATTCGTGATTTATGCATTATTAAGTGAATTTCGATTAAGTAACGGCGAAGCAGATTTCTGTAAAGCCATAAATTGCAATTGCAGCACTAATTGGTGACTGTGAATAACGAATGGAATAATTGCACTCCCCGAAAGCTTTTTCCCCGAGCATTCATAAATAGTGTAAATGATATGCCAACGATAATAATTCCGAGAGCAGTTGGGGGAGAATCAAATCGAATGGATTACAGTTTTAATGAAATAAAGGCTGAATTAAAGGAATTTTAATGGTTAGTACCCGCCCTTCAAAATTCATTTAAATTCGTTAAAGAACGCACTCGGATTTAAGGCAGAATTCAAGTGCAGCGAGGCGATTTCGAGGCTTTCGCCCTCAAAAGTAATCACAATCACAGCGGATTGAGAAGTTTGTTGCCTTGGCAGGGCCTGATAAGACTTACTTTCTATATGTATCGAAAGGAGCCCCGGCAACGCCTTTTTGGCCAGGCCAACGCTTGCCGAAGCGGAAGTGATTAAACAGCGGCGGCAGCACCAAAAAATAAAGGAAAAGGGCTGGCTGCCAAAAATTGATTCTTCCTCAGGCCCGCGACCGAATAAAGGGCACCGCGTATGCAAAACAACAAAGGAAGTTTAGCTGGGGGAGAAGGGCTGAGAAGATGGGGAAGAAAACGCGCGCTTTGCTTGAGCCGCTGCCCACGCCAATTAGAAGTTTCAAACCCACTGGCAGTCGCTTCGCAACACTGGTCGACGCCATACATGCACACTGGGCACGCACACTCGTGCATCCAGAGCCAGTTTGTCTGGCCCAGCGCAATTGAACAATTGAGCACGAAGAGCGACTTGCGCCCCATGCCGGAGAGAGAGGCAGAGCGTGAGAGCGCCTGGCAAGGCGCGCGTAAAACAACGACGCGTTCTTTTGGTTAGGGTATACAAAGCATATAAGGAGCATTGGTTTTTTTCATTTTCTAAAAATTATTCTATATTTTAGAATCTGGATCATTATTAGAATCACTAAATATGTCTATCTATAGAAATTCCGATTCCGTGATTTCTTCCCCTATCTGGTCTGAAATCCACACCTCTTTGAGGAAATGGAAAAGAGTAAACAGTTTATACCCCCATTGAGACTTTTACCTACAGCGATAAGGGTGGCAACCATAAATCGAGCAACAAAGCTACGCTCGCTTATCACACGGCGCATTCCAGTTACAGGGTATCACCACTGCAGGAAATCTTCCACTCAGAACAGCGAATGCAAGGCACAAAGGGAATCGGAAAAAACAACAAAGAGCAGAAAACAACAGAGCCAGCGCCAGAGCCAGAACCACAGGCGGAGACGGAGACCAATGGCAAAAATGTGAGAAGGCAAATAAGAATGCGAAAAATAACGTCGGAGGAGCAAAAATCAATTTGAGGCGCTGAAGTAGATGTTGTATGCTGGATTCTGGATGGATGCTGGATGCTGGGCTTTATTTTCGTGTGTTCTTCTTTTTGCACAAAGTTTAAAAAACTGTATACAATACACACACACACTCACACAGTTTGGCAGACGGAGACCCACACACACACACACACACAATCACACGGAGAGGGACTGGCAGGCAACACGCGACGGCTTTTGCCGGTTGGGGTAAAAACTACAGAGAAACTGGAAGAAATACAGAGAATCGGAGGAAGAGAGTCAGACGAGAACGCTTTAATTATGCTTAATTTGTTGTTAATCAAACTCAGAATACCGTTTTTGGAAAAACTCACGCGGCCAACCGGAGAAAAGCAATTGGTTTTTAGTGAAAAAAAGTAATGAAAAGAGGCGAATTTATGGGGCTCACGTTTTTCTGTTCTGCTGCTGTTCTGGTCGTAGATGGAAATGGGAACCAGAGTCGGATTGATTCACCGCTGCCGGATTGTTATTACACGTTTTTAACAATTGGGTTTTTCTGTGAGTGAATCTGTTCCTTGCTTTCGCACACTGCTTCCTTCTTTCTCTCTTTATCGACTCGTTCGCACACTTTAAATTTGCATTTGCAATTCGCCAATTGCCAATTGCCTTTATTCGGATATATGTAACTTTTAGTGGCTGTCGCTTTTGGATGTGGTTATTGCTTATTATATTGTTGTTGTTGTTGCTATTTGTTGTTTTTGTTGTTATGAAACCCCGGTATTTGTCACTTTGATTTACTTTACTCAACACACCGTCGTTATTTCCGAAATTCGCTGCCTTCCCTTCTGAGATGTATTTTCTGGAATTGAAAATTGAAATTCACTCTGGCGAGAAACTGCGAGACGCGCTAGCTGCTGAACGTAGAACCGTACACCACCATTAATTTTTAATAAATGAGAGGAGGTAGCACAGAGCGCGATAAACAACGGAACAGGCGACGGGGGTGGACACGAAGCAGCACGACGCGAAGCACGTCGTGAAGAGAGCAAATCGCTGTAACTTGGCTGTTAAGCATGTTTGGACTCGCTGTTAGCTGAAGAGCGGCACAGTGGACAATTGGGATAATTGGTGTTTCAAAGATCGAAAGGGTGCTTCTTAAGTTCTTAAGGCTTTAATAGTTGACAGAAAATGAAATTAATAAGGGAAATACGCATCAAAAAATTAGTTACTTAATTTAAGTTGTTTTATTAGTCTGAAATTTCATTTACAATTATAAATCTAAAACTCTGATTCTTTTTTATAAAGCACAACAAACCTTATAATAAGTATAAAAATTTCTATTATACGTTTGATTTGTTTCAAAAATGTGGAATTTCCACTGTGCCCCAGGTGCGAGTGGGACAACCACAGCAATCACAGAACAGTCCATAGCGAGGGAGACAGAGAGTGGCAGAGGGAGAGAAGCGACGTCGGCCGCTCTCGCGATTTTTCCCCAACTGCGCATGATCGTGTCTAAGAGTGCTGGTATGCGGCGAGAGAGCACTGTTAAGATTAACAGTACTCGAATAGGGACTTACATATTCCGATCACCTGCTTTGGCACATAACTCACATTATTGCATTTTTGAGTGAAAACACATTCAGCCCAATCCTGGCAGCACCCTCAGACCCCACTGTTTGGCATGCAAATTAATGTAAGGGATTAAAATACAACGCACAAATTGCATGCAACAACTATTCCAATAAGCAAACGTAATGAATTGCTTTTGAATCAAATTATGTAATTAATATTATGCCAAACAGCGACAAAACCAACAAAGGATTACACAAATATTTTCACTTCATTACAAATGAGTGAGCCACAACAGCGTTTTCCAATTAGACCAAAATGCGGTTGCATTTCCCTAGAATCTGGTCGCAATCCATTCTAGTGCTTGCCCTCAACGACCTTCACGGCAGGGAAAAATTAGTTGGGAACTGCAAGCCAAGCAAGCCAAGTTGAAACGCTTCAATAATAAATTCTCCTTCTACCTGGACATTAAAGAACACATTGCGTTGCGCAATTGTGGGCTGAAACGAATCTCATGCTCGGATAAATATGAATTATTTTAAATGTGGATAATCTTTCCAGGTCAGCCATTTATTAACTCGGAGTTTCATTAGCTTTGAACCAGATATTTATTAAAAACGAAAAATAAATATTCACAATAATATGACTATAATATATGTTTCTAGATAAATATGCTAGGAACAATACATCCTTAAATCATTTCACATTTAAAAATATTTATTTAATTTATGCCCTTATTTATGTATGTAGTCTTAAAAGAATAAGAAAGGATTTTTTTAAAAATAGATTCTCGTCAAAAAATGTTTTGCATACTTTTGGGTTTTCCGGAACAACAAACCAGGATGGAAGCAGAATTAAAAGTTTATAACTTCTCTAAAATGGACCAATTAGATTCAAACTTCTAAAAAAAACTTTTTTGAACTGGTTCTACACAAGGATGCTATTGAGGTATTTGAGGTTAGGAAGGAGGCGAGCGAAAAATGTAAGGCAAACTTGATCTGCTTGGATATTATAGGATCCTGTCTGCGAAATCATAGTTCCATCTAGTCTCTGTATATCTTATAGGATAAACATTTGATCTGATCAAGAACATTTATAGTTTATGGGGTCGGTGATGATTCCATTCATATGAGATGTTTTCCTTCTACTCTCCGAGTACCGGATATAAAAATAAAATGAAACTAAAATTTATAAATATAGATACATACACTAGTATTACCTACCAAGACTTAAATAAATATATTTTTGGGTTAAATTAAAATTAAAATAATTTTAAAAATTAAAAATAAAAAACATTCTATACATATTTATATCTTTAAAATCAATGTTTTAAAATTTGTATGCAACTGAAGAACTTTTTTGATACAAAAACATTCTATAAAAGAGTTTCCTGACCATATGATACCCGGTACACACTCTATCTTTCCTTTTTAAAAGGATTATGTTTAGTTTAAGGAACTTATCTTAAAATATATTCTCAAACCCAAATGTTCTAGCATACTTTTGCTTAAAAGAATAAAAAAGTCTGTAGTTAAATTATGGACATTAAAGAATACAGAACACAATTTATAATAATAAATAGCTATGAAAACCTCTATAATATCAATTAATTATTATTAATAATATCTATCAATTATTTTGGGTAATTCTAGTTATCTTCTCTCCTATCATAATAACTGGAAAAATATACACAAGTACATATCTTCAACTTATATAAAGGGTAAATAAATGCCTAAATGGATTCCATAACCAACATATTTAAATATGGTTCATGCAGGAAAATAGACCCAAATAAGGATGCTGTCATCCGGTGGCACTCTTTCCATTTGAACACATATTTGTTCAGTAATCGGACGTGTGGGATGGGCAGGACATGAACAAACATTTATCTAGAGTGCAGGAAAGTCAATTAATTGATTCAAAACAAAATGGAATCGAAAGCAAAAATGTTGGAAAAAATGTCAGAAAAAGTATGCACTTTTCTGTAACAAAAATAAATACACGAGCTCTGGTCAACGGGGGCGTGTGGCAATCCATTCAAATGTGGCGTTCTTTGCAGCCCGGCTTTCCTTTGAGTCCTTTGTCAGTGTGTAAAAACGATAAGTGCAGAACTTAATTAAATTTCATTTCTGGCGAAAAAACCTAGGGAGGCTGGAGGAGGGATGTTGGCTGGTTCACTAGGTTACCACCGAAGTACGTTCGTTACAAGCGAAATGCATTAAGCGCGAGAGTTTTAATTAAGTTATTATTAATCTCATTTGACTGCCACTGCGGGTTAAGCCCCCTCTGCCTTTACATGATAAAAAATCGCATTTCCATAAATAAACAATCCGAAATGATAAAATATTAAGAGGCAGAAGGCAGAAACTTTGCCTGTCCCATAAAATGTACCTCCTATCTGTGCCAAAAAGTTAACTACCTGTGGTCTGGGGCCTGAACAGTGACTTGCCGAGCCCTGGCAGTTTGACGGGGAAAATTAGGTCGCCTGAATTTTGAATGAACTCTAATTGTCATGAAATGCGGCTAAAATTGTCAATATACTCGATTGCCACCGAGTGGCAGGCGGGCCTCCTCTGCAAATCGAAACCCTCTGAACAACTACACAATGCCTCATTATCGATTCGGATTATGCAAATCCACACTGGCCCCCCAATAATCCAGTTGAATTTTTATTGCCCACAAATATTAGATGATTTTTTCGAAAACTATGACAACTAGTATGGTCTACCGATTTATTATTTAACGCTTTAGTTCAATGCAATATCGATTTCCGCGAGCCATTGCAACGGATTTGCGTTCACAACCGCCAAGCCAACTGCCTAAGGCTTCAATTGAAATTATTCATACGCCCCACAGAGCGTCCTGCTTCAACATTGGAAGAAAGGTACTTCCATGACCCAGTAACTATAAGGTAGTCTTGTCGAAAAATTTAGTCCGTTTACAAACTGACTTGTGTGAGTAAAACAGTGTAGACTAACAAGTATGTTTTTAAACCATAAACGATGAATTATGTTTTATTTCACCTACTATAATACAATTACTTAACGTTCTCTGTAATTGTTTTTCACATTTTTCATAATTTTATTTTTAATTATTTTAAATTTAAAAGTACTGGTGTTTTTTTTTGGTACTTTGGTATCTGCGTCAATATGTTCAATATATTTGGTGTATTAAAGACAGGTTTACTTGCTTTGTTGCTTCTCTTTGGTTTATAAGTTGAACACGTCTAATAAGCTTACAACAAAAATTGAAAAAAAGTCATTTAAAAATGTGTATGCCAAATTACTTTACGCTTTACAAAACTGGATGTTAACAGACTAAACATCGAACAAAATTTCAACGGCGCCACTACTTTATAGCTATTCTATCATGGATACTTCCATAGCTAGAGGCTTTATTCTCTGAAAAGAAAACCTGAACAAGGGTTACTTTTCTTAAAAACTTTCTTGATAGTTACACTTCCATTAAAATCCATGTTGGCAAAAATTTAGAAGTGTTTCCGTTAATGGGAGTGCCTCCTTATTCTTAAATTATTCAACAAATGTATCTTAAGTTAATGTATCATTTGAGCTTCGTAAGGTTAAGCTATTCAACAAAAAACTATGACAAGATAACTCGACTATATGATACTGCTTAATATACAATAATTAAAATAAACCCAAGCCATAAGTATCTGATGTTTCCAGCTCATTAAACACTTGTTGAATAAACCAGGAGAAGAGAATCCTTGTATCTCTAGCCACCTCAGTGGCATTCAGTATTTCTATGGTTATCCGTAAGCCGTTCACCTTCCTGAGGCTTTGGGTTCTTAGCAAACATTTAAATGCAAATCTATTTAAGTTGGTCTCCTTCAGTGGCTTAGTGGTTTTTAACTGAAATGGCCAAAGCCGTGCTTGAGCAAGAAAACGGCAAGTTCATTTAACTAATAGCCAGCAATTTATAACTAGCTTGAGTTGCCGTTCCTGGCAGTCCCCTCCGCATCCCATTGGCCGTTGCAAGAAGCTTGCGATGACATACAACTAATGGCCTGACCCACCTGGACTGGAGCGACGTCCCGCCCGGATACTGCTCCGCAAAACTAATCCGCTTAATGTTTTGCCTATCTCCTAAAATATGGCCAGGGCTGGCCAGGACCAGCAGGATGCGACAGCTTCCTTATGGCGGTGTGTGTGTCAGGAACTTACTTACCCAGTTGATAAGGCAAGAAAGTCGAAAAGGCCAGGACTTGGCCAGGTCTGGCCCGCCGCATCGACAACCGGCTGGAGGAAAAGAAAACGTAGGCTAAAAATTGAAATAAAAGTGTTGAGTAGTGCGTCGGAAAAACTTTCCAGGGGATAACTTAAACGGCCCCCAAAGACGCCAAGAGATAATAATGCGATAGGCAGTTC